TTTTTTGGGCAAACTATTACTCTAATTACTGAGAAATTGTTTAATTTTTTTTAGAAAGGTAATCTGTAACCTTATGAAGTTAAATATTTCAGGCACATATAGGACGAAATACGTGCCATCATCAGAGTGACATTCATTGTTGAGATGAAGCTTTTAAACAGTGTACGCTGCCATCACTGTACATATCGTGCCTCTATCACTCTAATTCAGTGCTGAACACAAAGTTTGGTTATTTACAGAACTGACAACTGCATTCTGAACTGAATTTAGCTGCAGTATATACTTGGTCTTTGTGTTCATCACCAGAGATTGAGGGTTTGGTTCAGCACACAACTGTACGACCCTCACTATGTCTGCAGTTTATATGTAAAGTGTGTACAGAATTTCAGCCTAGGACGCCTGAGGTGGACTGTGAACAGTAGTTTCTCCATAGAATGACTGACTACATATACTGAAATGTGCAATGTATAACAATTATCAACCAAAAGAGACCTTTCTTCAACGTTTGATCAGACTTCCAGTTTGAATTAAGCTTGAAAAATATCAATTTTTGTTTTTGAGCTGAAATCTGGACACTGTGTGTGTTCATGTAGTAGTAGGGCTGGGCCATATGGATAAAATAAATAAATAAATAAAAAATCACAATAAAATTGTTCATATCAGTTGATAACAATAATTGACCTATCGGTAAGCCCCGCCCCCCTTAGTTACTGTTGCAAACTTGGACAAACAAAAGTTGCTAACTGTCTAACAATAACAGCTGTCAGTGTGAAAACCTTGTCCTAAGATGTTTTTGATATATTTTGGACACAGAAGGACCACCATTCAAAATAGGACTTAAATATGCCATTGAGGGATATATAAAATAAATTAAATAAATATGGTGGGTAACAAGATTAATTTGGAAGCGAGGGTTTACAGATCACAATGCAAGCGGGATCGCAGATGACAACATCCTGTATTCATGCACCACAGGGTAAGATTAAAGGGATAGTTCACCCAAAAATGAAAATGTGATGTTTATCTGC